GGCCGCGGCCGCCTGCACCTGCGCGGCTTGTGCCTGTGCGGCAACTAACTGCGAGGCGGCCGCCGCGACCGGCAACGGCGGTTGCGGCGCCAATCGCACTCCCAAAGCGCCGAGTACCACCCGCTTACCGAGCGCGAGCGCGCCCGGTTGCACCGCCTCCTTGGGCTGCGCCTTCTTACACTCGACCTTTTTGTTCTTTATCGTGTGGAAATGGATCTCGCACACGCGGTCCACCACATCCTCGTTCTCGAACGTAACAAAACCGAAGCCTCGATGACGTTTTGTCTGCTGATCCATCAGCATTACAGTCTCCTCCACCTTCCCGAACTGATTGAAGTAAGCCTTGACCTCGTCGCTGCTCGTGTCCTGACTGACACCACCCACGAAGATCTTCTTGGTTCGATTAGTCTGTTTCGCGCGATTCTTTGGCGTCGCGTGCTTCGGATCGATCTTCTTGCCATCCAAGGTGTGCAAGGAGCATTTGAGGACTTTGTCGACACTACCGGGCTCGGCAAACGTGATGAAGCCGAAACCGCGGCTACGCTGTAACCGAACAAGCCGAGAAACCGGCACGATGCACATGGTCCGTCTTATATATTACGTTCCTTCCTCTTTTATTTATTTATTTATTTTTTTTTCGCGAACTGTCTGTTTCTTTCGCTCTCGCGACATCGAACGCTCTGAGAGACATTGTGATTCATGGAAACCCGTGCATTTTTTTTACACTTCGCTATTCTTATTATCGCAAGATACTGATGATCTGAAAGACGAGTTTTCATGACCAAATGGAAAATTTCTCATAATCCAAACATATGAGAACAAATTGAATTTTATAGTCACATCTTCTTATATACAATATGTATATCGTGTAAAATATTTATTATCAAAACGCGGTCGGTCACAAAAACTAATCCCTTCGCCTCTTCCTAAAGCCGGCTCCGATCCGATATATAAGAAACACGCTCCTGATTACTTGCAAAAAGATTTATATCCTGATTCTTTGACTCTTGTCGCCGGTGGTCCCGTAACGGTTTTTTTTTTTTTTTTGTTTGTTATGAACGGTTAACTAGTGCTACCAAACTACCATTTGCATGCAAAATTGTCCAAGCCAATGTTTAAGACAAACATTCTAATGTTACGTGAAACAAAGACTGCGATAAAGACTCAAATCCATTACGAACGTTAAGGAGCTACTGATATATATATACATACATATATATATATATATATATATGTATATATATATATATATATATAATATGTATAATAAATGTATTACATTTCCGTCCCACCCTCTCGTTCGCGAATATCTCTCTGCTATTTCACCCGCGCAACATTCGAAACATTTTGCGCCTGCAAAATCCGACAAAAACAAAAAAATAAAAAAGAACAAACGACTGCTGCCTCTCCCATCTTCTTTTGATTAATGCGATTATAATATCTATATAATACAATCTACTTTTCTCTTATAATATAATATACTTTATATCAGCAATTAATTACACCGATTAGTACAACTTCTCATATCTACTACGAAAATCTACTACGTATAATAGTTTCGTGCAGAAGTGGAAGGAGAGATTGCTTTGGTACATCGAATCCTGTCGAGGTGAAATTTAGTTTTTTTTTTTTTTTTTCACGCGGTATTTTCTTACTTATCGCGGACCGACTCTCCCGCGACTCGGGGCGAGTGTCGGGATGAGTCGGAGAAATTTGTTACGACAAAAATTATCTGACGCGATGTTAAACGCGATTTGGAAACGCGTGGGCCACGCTGTTGTTTCTACGAGGCTGTTCGCGTCGTCGGTTCGAACAATTTACAATTAATTCTCGAATATTTCTTTGTCAGTTATAATAACGAATGCCAAACTAGTTTAGACATTTAAACAAAACAACATCACAGAAGAAAATATTAAATAATTGCTTGCATCTCGTCAACATTAATGTAATATCGTCAGACTTCTATTCACACAAAAAATACACTTCGACCGAAGAGAAATCCGGACGGATTAATTTTAAACAGTAATTAACCGGCAAGTCTGTCAAAGACGACAAACACAGCCTCGTACAACAAATTAAATACAACCGTAATCGACCGGGCGAAAAAAAAAAAAAAAAAAAAAAAAAGACGAGATATATATACTCAAGAAAGTGGTGGACCGACCTGCGTAACCGGATCTTTCATAATGAGAACGTCGGTGACGGTGCCGAACATGCTGAAGTATTCTCGCAATTTTTCGCTGCTTGTCTGCCAGGACAGACCGCCCACGAAGAGTTTGCCTGGTGCCGGGTCGCCGCCGTTCGGCGTACTTCTGCCGGAGCTTCCTGAATGGCTACCGTTTATCGGCACCAGCGCGTTGTGAAAATCGTGCTCGATCGCGCCGTTTGTCGCCTCCATACCGGCGCTGCAAAACAATCAAATAAATCTATTGTAGAAATAACGTATGCGTATATTCAACACAACAATTATATGCATATTAAATTAAAAAACACTTTACACATCATTTTCTACTTATTGAGAATTCAAGAAGTTTTATTATGGTTCTTGAAACACACGAATGTTGCTTACACACACATACACACAGTTACGCGCATACTCAATTCCAAAGCATTTGCGTTATTAACCGATGCGAGAGCTAAACACGCTCGTGCGCGCGTAATTATTATATATATACGTTGTTTGTAACAGCTGCGAGACAATCATCTACTAATTATCACATTTCAGCTTTACAAATGAGAAAAGCATTCGTGCGAACGGCGATAGAGATCTCGTGAAAAGATCGGTGACTTCATTAGACGAGCTTGTGTTCGTTTATTTTTCTGTTTCAGATAATACCGCTCGGCATTGTAACCTTTTGCGTGGCGCTTTCCATTCCCGTTCTGTCCTACCATAGACTGTTTCTTGGCACGATTGACGTTCAGTAAGTAGCGAGTTCCGCGTGCACCGTATCGCGCGTTTTACCGTACGATGTAAAAATAATGCGTTTCACACACACATTTTCGCAAAACGAAGTCGCGCCAGCAAAGTCCTGGAACTCACAGACGGAAAATAGCGCTGTCCGTTTTCTATTTCCGTGTGAGCTACAATCTACAATTCTATGTATAAACGCCAATGTGTCTAAGGTCACTGTGTCTGCCAAGCTTCAACGGCCTTGGCACTGCACGGTTCGCGTTCTCGATCGCGAGAAAAACTTTTACTTGTGCCGTGTAACAGGCGATCGCGTTTTGCTTGTTAATAAACACGAGCAGCGATTTTATCGCGTGTTATACAAGAGAGCGTCGAGCTTGTGCACGGAAGATAATGACATTTTCGAATTTTCACCGTTTTCGCGAAAAACCCGAAGGCGCACGCGCGCGAGCCGCGAGAGACAACGCGTCAGAAAAAAAAAAAAACAAAAAAACCAAACCTATATTTTCGAGTAAACGAGAAAAATATTGTTTTTGTCATCTTTTCAGACTGACCAAGTATCAAAGATTCGAGATTCCGTCCAAGCCTAAATTCATCGATTTGCGAAACCCTCGAAATTTGAAGGTAAGAGATGTCTTCGCTTCAGAGCTATTAAATTACAAGGTGATGCAAAACATAATCGATAAAAAATTATCTGTTATAACGTCGAGATGTAATTTTTTGCAATTTAATCTATAAATTTTTTCGCGCGCCTACTTTATTATTAGTACTGCAAAATAAATTTACATTTCGAGTAATCGCAAAGTAAACATCGATATCTGATTTAAAGCCACTGATTCAATGCGCGCGCACACACACACACACACACAAAATTCTTGCAAACATAACATAATTAAGTAATATATCTTACATGTATTTTCACGCAAGCGAGAGCAATCCTGCGTGATAGGCGCGATGTCTTTTTTTTATCGTCCTTAACCTCTATTAATTATTTTTACAATTATATTGATTTATCGTGTTGCCTTGTCCACGTTCGTTTATATTTGGTGTCGTTAAATAATTCATGTTGCGGCTTCGTTTTGCCCGTGCGTCGCGCTTAAAAAACGTAATTAGACTTTGATGAGAGTCCTTTTTGTAGTCGTACGTATGTAGTCGTACAAAATGCCGATTGTTTTGCGATATCTCGTAAATTGATTGTTTTTATAGCGCGCCGCTATTTCGTCCTCTTCCGATAAAACACACAGTTTTGTATCTCGTTCTGTTCCGTTATAAGTGTCGTCAGTGTCATATTGTTGTCCTTATATGGTTCTCGATGCGAGATAAGACATCGCGCGCGGACACATTGTGCGCGCGTTGGATACATTCTTTCTCGGTCAGAAATCTCGTAAAGAGCAACAACCGATATCAGCCGCATCTCTCTAGACGGTGATGCTTGATGTCGCTCGTTTCGTTTCTCTCTCTCTCTCTCTCTCTTTCGTGGCGCATGTGACTCGAGAGATACGTAGGAAACTAAGAGAAACTACGGTCGTTCTGTTCTGTATATCTAACTGGAGATATAGCGCGCCGTGGCGATGCCTTTTCCCTCAGGATCCGGCGTAACGCGTCGTACATTCACCAGCGCGGCGTTACGTACGGCGGGTTGGTGCGCGGGGGTGTAAGAGAGCACAAGGGGGAGTTGTAGACGGAGCGGTGGGGTACACCGCGCGTAACGGGACGAGAGGGTGGCGGAAGGTTGCGCGTTAGCCCGGTTCAGATATATCGCCGCGAGCAGCATGGTCGACATGGGGTCGCGAGGGGGTGTCGCGGGGGTATAAAGCGGGAGAGCAGGGAAGGTCCCGGGGCGCGCGAGGGAAAAGAGAAAGAGAAAGAGAGAGGGAGAATCGTGATGGTCGAAGCGAAACGAGCGAGTCGTCGTTCGGGTTGGGAGTGGCGCCGCGGAGGGATAAAGGGGCGCGAGGGAGGAGGAGGGCGACGCCGACGAGAAACACGCAGCTGGTGGATCAATACACCCCTCCGCGTTCTTCTCGTCGTGTGCGCTCCGCTCCGCTCGGTTCGGCTCGGCTCAGCACGGCGCTGCTGTCCGCTCGGTCGAGTCGGCTACCCCTTGTGGATCTCGGCCGTCCTTTGCCCTCCCGCACCGCTTGATCGGCCACGGCCGCGGAAAACGTCTCACGATGCCGCCGCCGCCGCCGCCGCCGCCGCCGGTTTTCTGTTTTCTCTTCTCCTTCTTCGCCGTGCTTTCTCCGACAGGGCGTCGTGATTATTAAACGCGTTTCTTTTCCCTCACTCTTTTCCCTCTTCTAACGGTCTAACGTATTTCTTCCACGGTAGACGCTTACTACCGCCGATATCGGAAAATTCCTGCAGACGATTTTTTTTACTAGATCTATGAAAAAATTCGAGAGACGAGAAGGGAGAGAGAAATGTTATCTCGCGATTCTCAATTTTTCTTCGCGATTCGTCTCTCGTAACATTTATTTCTTAACACCAGAAGAAATTTGTACTTCTCTGATATTTCGAAGTACTTCTCTACTGTTTGGTTGAGAAGAGGAGATCGATCAACGGGGGAACATCTGCCGCACGTTCGTTCACCTCAAATTACAAAAGCGAGACCATTTTGACGAGATATGAGATAATAAAGCTTTAAAGGACAAGAGTTTGAGTTGTCATTAGACTCGTCAAGATTCATTTATCATTGACGAAAACATTTGTATCAATCTTCCGAATTTCTCCGGATTTGTCGAGATACTTCTGAATGATGTTTGTTCAACGTTGTTCTTGCGATCTTCAAACGTCACTTTGTTTGCGCTGAATTCAATGCTGTTGACAAGATAATCTCGTGTAAATTTAATAAAATTCCTCGGTGTTTCAGGACGACGTGGTTACATCAAACGGCGCGAATTTGAGATATCGCCGCGTGACAATCGAAATTAAAAAACCGTTTGATGCGAATCAAGCGACCTATTGGATAATCAACTAAACTACCCTTGTCGTAGCTCGTCGATCGTTTAGTCCGACTACGTGGAAACAAAAATCTTTTTTCGGCAAATATATCGATTTTGCGATTTATACGTAACCGATGTAATTCGGTAATTTGATCGGCAAACGCACGTTTATCAAATTCACGAATGTCCACAAGCGCAACGGGAAGGGAAGCATCCTTCTCTCCCGATGACCTCGATCGTCTTACGCCTTTCAAACGAAGGACAGAACGTGCAGGTAAAAGCACAAACGAGGAAGACAAAAAACAGAAGAAGAGCAATATAGAGACAAAAGGGAACGCGAGAGAAAGACAGCACACACACACACACACACAAAAGTGAAGGAACGAGGGAGGGTGAGTTAACGGCGCTGAGAGACCCAGTGTGTAGTTTCAGTATTTTCAGTATCGCTAGATATGTCCCAGTACCTAGGTAGCAGTCTCCACGTCCGCCCCCAGCAACATCGAGGGGGTTGTACTCGCGCTCGCCCCTCTCGCGCTACTTCTTCCGCGCCCTTCCGCGAACCCCTCGGCGCTCCGTATCCCTCCCTTAACCCCCGTTGCACGTACACACACGCACACCCTCTCGTGGTGTTTCGCGCATGCGTGTAAACGGCGCACACAAACAAGGAATCATACCGAAGAGGGTTGAGTTTCCCTCACGGTGGGAGAGGCTCCAAGGTAGAAGAGCTCTCTCTCTCCCGGTGGGTAGGAAGAGGGTGCGGAGGCGCCGCCGCCACCGAGCGACGCAGTGCCGTCGGAACGCTCGACCGAATGATACGGCCTTCGCAAAGAGGGTATTTTTCGCCGGCCGCCATATCTCGCTTGGCAATCCTTTCGACGATAAAAGCAAGCGAGGAGCCAGAATCATCGGGGAAGAAAAAAGAGAGAGAGAGAGAGTATAAACCTTTTTCGCGGAAGGAAAGGAAGAACACTTACGTGCGATCGCAAACCCATCGGCCGGGGATATTGTCCTGTCACAGCAGTACGCCTTTTAAGAGTTACTGGTGTGATGGGACATTGTCCTCGTCCTGGTGGTCCACTTCGGATCATCGTCCTCGTCGTGCTCAAGATTTATTGAGAGAGAGTACAGAGATTGTGGAAAGTGTGTCTCGGGTCAAATTGGTGCCGCGCTCGTTAGACGATTCCTCGCGTTCGAAAGGAAGAATGAAAGAAGGTGAAAAGAGCAAGTGAGGGATGTTTTACGAAGAGGATGTTAGTCGTCGTGATGACGGCGGACTTCTGCGGACTTCGCGAACACAGGGGGTGGAAACGCCCGAACGCGAACGCCTCTCCTTGTGTACACAACGTCCTGAGGATTACGAAGAAAAAAAACATTGTCCTTTATGTAATATCGCTGGTCTCGCGATGGGGTTGCACACCGCGCTGACGAGGATACGAGAACGAGAATGGTTTACAATGATGTTTCCAGTCGATAAAGCAGCTTCCGAGAGGCGCGGCTGCCTCGCTACCGTGGTCGATTCGAAGACCCGTTCTCGTCGTCTTCCTCGATCATC